GGGCCACAAAGGCAAATAACTTGTTTCTAGAAGGAATAATCCTCCAAAATCAGCATGATCAGCTGCAAGCTCTAAGCAGTGTTCCTGAAAAAGTACTTAAAGGAGGTCCAAAGAGGTTTTCACAGGGGATCCATGAGGTCCTTAGAGCCCTCATCATGAAGTAAACTGGCTTTTGCTGTGAGAAGTGGCTTTCACTTCTTCACTTTAATAGCAGGAAAACAGGAAGGAAATACCAGAAATAGGAAGTGTACTCATCTAAATAAACCATGGTAACTTGCAGTTTCAATGTCATGTAGATCGCAAAATGAAAAGAAAAATAGAAAAATATGCAATTCTTACTACATCTCTGAAGAAATCATCTTTGGAAGATAAAAATACAATTGTTTATACAAACAGGAGTCAAAGCACAGTAAATGATATGCAGGCAATATAGTAATTATCACCACTGCAGCAACACCTGGCTTGTCAAGCCATGTAATTGTGGAAGATGAACAGATATAGTGTAACACTTAATGTTTAACTCCAACAAAAAGATCATCTCAAAATAAGGACTATTAAGTTGTAAAGAAACACAGTTACTCTTTTCAACTAATTTACACTAATTTTTCATGTTAGAGGCATAATGAGAGTTCAGGTGTTTGTAATCCGTATATGCTTTGATTTTTACAGGTCAACACTGGGTACACAAAGAATGTTCATGTTTTAATCAAATCATCAAGGAATTGTTTATTCAAATCAACAATTCTTTGTGCATTTCTAATAAATTCTTTCAGTCTTGTCATAAATCAAACCAACTAAAAGAAACATTTTCTGCTGGCTCCTAATGAGTTAATTTCTCCCACCTGCAGTATTTCCTCCAAAGCAAGCACCAAGTTTATTTTTACAGCTGAATTCCTAAATAGCAGAGGAAGGGAAGGTTTGCTGCAACTGGGATTTCATGTTATGCTTTTCAGGAATGATACATTTCTTTGAGAAATATTCTGGTCATTGAGTGTAACGGCGATTTGAGCTTTTGGTGAATTACCTTCACTATATTTTATTGTACTTAGAAAAGAAGAAAGAAGCTACTAAGAAAAAATGCTGTCTTTAGAACAGTGGGAAAGGAGCCATAATTTTTCCAAGGTAAATCTCTGCTGTTACCTTTGGAGTGAGTCATCTGTCCCCCCCAAGGGGTATAGTTCACTTTCTGAGCTCTTAAAATAGACTTTTGTAATGGGTTTGTTCTTTATCAGACACTTTCTTTCTGTAGCTGCCTTAAAAGGGCTTAAATTCTTCCAGTTACTGCCTGATTGCCTCATTTCATATCCCACATGTCTTTGGCAGAGAAGAATGTTGAAGCATTAGTTTTTTCTTCAGTAACAGATTTTACCATGCAGATTTGAATTGGAATGCTGAAAAATACATGCTAGTGCTTCTGATCACATAGCAATTACTAACTGCAAAGGATGACTCCTCTGGTTAGAAATAGTAGAGCTAGCAAGAAAAGCATTTTGGGGCAAACCTTAAAATGGGACAGCTTTTAAAGCTTTGGTGTTTGTGCTTACTAGTTTAAAGGATGGAAGAAGAAATATGGCATGAAAGGGGAGGTTATCTTATAATATTGGCAGTAGTTTTATTAAAGTGTCAGGAAAGAAGGAGTAAGGGATGCTACCACACAGTGGTTTTGTTTGTGAAACTGGAACTGGTTCGTTTCTCATGTGTATCATGTAATTTTGGTTTGTATCAATACTTGCATAACTTTCTATTATGCTTGGGAAATGGGGATCTTTTTATGTTCCAATTTAGTAACCTAAAAAGTAATAACTCCCATCAGTTGTTTAATAGGTCTGTTGTTATGGTCACTGTACAATGTCTAAACCCTGTTGTTAAAAGTAGCACTTTTTTGCTTTAATAATTCAAAAATTTGGGGTCTTTACTGCTTGAAAAATGTAATTTCACTCTACAATAAGAAGGTTGATAAGCTGGTGAATGTTTTGTCTTTCTAGCTATCTGAAATAATTTCCAGATGAGAAGATAGCACTGGTCTCCATATGCTGATTGTAAATCTCTTTCTATCTAGAGCATTTACAATGAGAGCACTAAGTATTAAATTACCTTTTCAGGAAATAAAAGCAGCTTTTGTTAACATGATCTGTGCTGTGTTGGAAAGCTTTCACCTTCTGCTGCGTGGCCCTGCCCTCTGGTGGGCACGCAAAGGCTGGCTGAGAGCCTGCTTTTACATAAACTGGAAGGTTGCCTCCAAGAAATCTTACCTAATCTTTGCAAATCTTGACATTTAAAAACATTTCGTTTTCCCCATTGTGTTTCAGTCGCAGTTTTGCAGTCCTGTGGCAACAGCAGAGACATTATCACATGCATCTTGGGATATTAAAGTAAAATAGTAGGATTGATGACACTTGCTTGTTATTGTATTGCTTTCTTATTCTCACCATATTTTGGAGATCTCATACGGTTGAAATGAAGGTCAAAAATGTGTTTTCCTGAATGCCAGCTTGCTTGCCATTTTTGTCTGTGATATTTTTAGACACTTTGAACTTTGCACAGCTAGAGTATCTGTTGTACATAATTCCAAATTAAAGACATGTTCCAGCGTATATTTTCATTCTGGAACTTCTTGGCTGTTCTTCTGTAATCTTATTAGGATTGGGGATAGAGAAGTTTCTTTTTCCTATTTAAAAATACCTTTTCCATGTTTCACTAAAGCTTTTCTGTCTTTCTTCCTATGCCACAGCTTGCACTTTATCGATAACTCCATGTATTATCCTTCCAGTTAAAGATATAAATCAGAAAAGTTCAAAATGCTCTTAAGGATCTAATCTGAATTTATTACTGTTTCATTTTGAAGCAATCTGATACATGTCTTAATGAGATAGAATCTTGTTTTATAATCCACTGAGGTTTTTTAAGTATAGACCATGAATCTGATCCTCCAAGCTAGTAGTAGCATAAATAGATGTTATGTAATGGTTCACAAAGTCACCAGGAAGTATCAGGTTCTTATTAGGAAACTGCTGAAGGAAAGACCTGTATAATACTAGTGGTTTGGTGTTTTTTTTTCCCCAAGCAGAAAGGAAACCTTGGGTTTTAACTTTTTTTGGTCACATTTAAAAAGTACGACTTCTCATAAACTATGTTATAGTATTTTTAAAGTAATATATGCACTCAAAATGAAAAATTCACACAGGACAGTAATCTCAAACTTCTTCTGAAATTACAGCTGAATTGGGCTGCCAGATGGGAGCTTATGCTCAGACACATATAGGGCTGAAATCACAACATAGAGGATGCAGTATTTGAATTTTAACTACTAGAAACTACTTGGATGAAGGAAAGTTATGAAACCTAAGTCAAAAATCTTGGTTGTGAGTAAGAAAGCCTTGGGGTTTTTGTTGGTTTTTTTGGGTTTGTTTTTTTGTTTTTTTGGGGTTTTTTTCTGTTTGTTTTTAATGGGGACAAAGTTGAAAAGAGGTTAAATACTCCAAGTTTATTTGGAACATTATAATGTAATACATATCAATAGAAGTATATATTAATAATCTTGATATACATCCGTGGAGAGAGTCCACCACAGGAGCATCACTGAGTTGATCAGAAGAATTGGAGCACCACTCCTATGAGGAAAGGGTGAGTGAATTGGGCTTGTTCAGCATGGAGAAGGGAAGGCTCTGGGGTGACTTAAAGGGGCCTTCCAGTGCCCAAAGGGAGGCTACAGGAACAATGGAGAGAGGCTGTTTACAAGAGCCTGGAGTGACAGGACAAGAGGGAAATGGCTTCAAACTGAAAGAGAGTGGGTTTAGCTTAGATATTGGGAAGAAGTTCTTTACTGTGAGGGCAATGATGCACTGGCAAAGGTTGCCCAGAGAAGGTGTGGGTGCCTCATCCCTGACAAAGGTCAGGGCAGGTTGGATGGGGCTCTGAGCAACCAGGACTAGTGAAAAGTGTTCCTGTGGTAGGGGAGTTGGAATCAGATGATCTTTAAAGTCCCTTCCAACCCCAGACAATCTGATTCTGTCATTCTATGAAGTTCATCTCATAAATGAATAGCAATGGCAGGCCTATCTGCTTTGCAAAAAATAGCTTTAGTGATGCAGTGATAAAAGGTATGTGAATGTCTGTGTCTATATATAGATGCCTATATTTTTAATGAAATGTGTATTGAATATTGTGTATTTATTAGGATATTGGAAGGCTTATAACTGAAAACACTTGAAAGATAGTGGAACAAAAAAATCTTGTGCTGCCTTCTTGTCCAAGCGGCATCATCCAGTGGTCTAATTATGAGCAATTTTAATAGAAGTAAGGATAGATATAAACATCTATATAAATCATACATCTATGTATAATTTGTATCTCCTGAGTCAATTGAGATTTTCATGACAGAGGTGATATCGTCTAAATTCTTCTACATGTTTCTGTACAGTCTTCTCCTTGAGTACTGTCCCATGGAACTCTGGAATAAGGCTTTTCTTTCCTAATTTATAGCAATTAAATATTCACCCAGTAGCCACTTTCTTCCCAGAAAAGCACTTTGGATAGAACCAAGATTTCTTTTACTGTTGTGCTTGATTAGGATAAGAATGAACAGCAGGGACAGTAATATTCAGTTCCTATGCAAAATTAATAATAATCACCAACAAATTATGTTCAGTGAATTGGGAAGGATGTTTGGCATCGGGAACGGCTGTACTTCATATGCAGCTGCAATAATGCTAGCTATGAGATGAGAAAGTACTTTCCCCTTCTCATTTTATGAACAATAATATCCTTGCACTCCTACTGCCTATGACCACAGCTACTGTGGGATGTGGGAATCCCTGCTTTTGTTAGGACTGCAGGAGGGCATCCCAAACAGGTGTGTTTTGAGAAGGCTTAACTTACAGTAAACAAAATTATATCCGAAATTACACTTTATACTGAATCCAGTGTTTATTAATCGTTTTATAAGCCTTGATTAGTTTATAAATAATGCACACCGTTGCACAGGCAAAATACATAAATGGAATGAAAGTATTTAAGCATTCAAGTTTTGCGTTGTTCAGCGTTTTGGGGGACATCTGATGCTCAGAGGGAAGGATTTGCCGGTAGGAGCAGCAGAGCCATGGGGAACGGACGCTCATTCAGCGCCTTTGATCGGGAGGTCACGGCACTGGCAGCAATGTGCTGCCCAGCGCGTTTCAGGAGCGATCTGACGGACTGCGGGCTTCTGGAAAAGTCACGGGAATGGGCGCCGTGTGGGTGAGGCTGTCGCAGCGTTGCAGGTGCAGTAAGCCCGCAGGAGCCCTGGCGGGACTCCACAGGCCGTACATCCATCCGTGTGCATGCCTGCGTGTGTGAGTGTGCTCCATGGGCGCCTCCAGCGCGGCTCCCCATGGCCGGCCAGCGGGACTACAGCTCCCAGCGGCTCCCGCCCACATCCCGCGCCTGCGCACGCAGTCCCTCGGGCGGAGGTGGCTCCCTGTTCCTTGAGCGCGAACCCGGCTGCGGCCGGACTACATCTCCCAGAGGCCCCCGCGCACATCCCGCGCCTGCGCAACCGGAGACGGCCCGGCCGCACTCCGCCGTTGTCGCCGTCGGTGGGTGGGTGGGGGAAGGGAGCGAGCGGGAGGAGGAGGAGGAGGGAGGGGGGGGAGAGTTGAGAGTTCACCCGCCGCCGTCGCTGCCAGGCCGGACTCATGATTCCCATATGCCCGGTAGTTTCGTTCACCTATGGTGAGTAGCGGTGCTCGGCGTGTCCGTGCTTGGGGAGAGGGCGGCGGGCGGGGGTCGGTCCTGAGGCGCCGAGTCTGACCCGGCGCTCCCGCGCTCTCTCTCTCCCTTGTCCCTCTGTGTGTCCCGCTCTTTCCCCACCGCCTCCTCTCGCCGGGCCTCCTTTCATGGCCCCCGCCGCCGCCGCCCCTCGGTCGCCGCCGCCGCAGTGCCCAGCCGGCTGGGGGAAGATGCCAAAATGGCCACCGGCAACTACTTTGGATTCACCCACAGCGGGGCTGCTGCCCAGTACAGGTGAGCACCGCCGCGACCCCCCGGGACCCCCCCAGGGCCCCTCTCCCCGGCCGGGACCCCGGGCAGCTCCCGCCCCTTGCCCCGTGCCGTGGGCTGCGCTCGGATCCTCCCGCCGCGCCCGCGGGTGTGTGTTCTTATCTCCCTGTGTGCCTGGGGGTGGGAGGTGGGGCTGGGCACCGCCGAGAAGGAGGAGGAGGATGATCAGCGACGGCATCGGGTCTCCAGGCCCTTAGATTAAAATGGCCACTTGCAGTCAGTCAGCAGCACCGGCGAGTCACCGTGTGCCGCCCCCAGGCCTGTCTCCTGCCTCAGCTTCGGGGAGCACAGGCCTTGCTCCCCAAGGCTTTGCTATCATCGTGGGAGCCCAGAATCCCTTCTAACATGGCTTGAAAACCTACCTGAGGGAGGCTGGATGGATCAGGGAGAGATGGAGCACCGGAAAATAGCAGGGGACTTAATCCAATTGAAGTAGTGTGTCTAAGAAAGTAGAGAAGGTACTTTCATGGACAGGTACCTTGTTAAAAAAATGTCCTATTCTGATTTCTAAGACCAGGAGCAGTATTCTAGTGGAACCTGGGGACCCGTGACTGTGTTAGACAGTATACATACCCGTGTCTTACGTGTCTAAATAGGTCTATCAATACAGACCTCATATAGATACACTGCCACAAGTCTTTGTATCTTAGTAGTTTTTGTCCATCTAAATTGTGGCCAGAGTGTTAAAAAGTAATTGGTAGCATCTATTATATCACAGTTTCGGACATCATATTACTTAATTTGCTAAATCCAGTCAGGAACATCTTTGCAATTTTTACTTGTATTGGAGTGACACCTTAAAGTCCACATTTGAATCTTATGTTGCTCATTCCATAAATCTGTAATAAACAACTTCCTCAATGCCTAAGTTGTGGTGAATAAGATAAAACCCAAAATAATAAAGCAAATATATCAGAGATTATTAACAAATGAATGCAGAGGTGTACTAGTAGCTAACAGAAATTGCATAACTAATGTAGTCTTAGGAATGTACATTTTTTGTGGAGGTGTTGAAATAAGTCCGTGTTTTCCACTGATTTTTTTTTTCCTGAAAATGGATGTGACGTACACTGAATTTAATTTACTCTGGTGTTTAATAGTGGATTAAATTTAGTTAATCTTCTAGTTCCTTTGGGTACTCACAGTGCATGTATGTGTTTACATTTTACATGACAGTTATAGGGAATATATAGGACATATATATAGAACTTCCTTTTAAGTATAAAGGTTAAGTGAATAATAAACCAAGATCTGTATGTCTGCAGTTTTGAAATGCAGATGAATTTTTAAAATCATCTTTTATTACAGGGCTGAGGTGATCTTTAGACTAAAGATCCTGAACAATTCCTTTGAAGTTACATAATTGGAATAGCATTCAAGTTTAATAGCTGATCCTAAGTGTGTTTTTGAGAAAATGGAAAACAGATCAAAAGAACCTTTTTCATTTGCTATCATAAGTTTAAGGTACTGTTTGATTTGCTATCAGTTAAAGACTCTACATCCTATAAATGATTTGTGTGTTTGCCACATCTGGAAGTGAAGACACACAGCAATCAGTGTTTAAGTAGTCCTTTCATAAGAAGGAATTTAACAATTTGAGCTGAAAACACAAGAGTCACTTAAAATGTCTGAAGGGAGCTTACTTTTACAAAGCAGACTTGTTAGGTCCTTACTGATGTGTTTACAGAGTGCTACAAATCATGTATTGCACTCTAGTATATTTGAGAAAGAGATGCGGTGGCAGGGGAAGATGGTAAGATTTGATTTTACAAGTCTTTAAGTTTTTTTCCAGTATTTGAAGTGACAGTTCACAGAATTAAAAAATCATCTTCTTGGAAACCAGGGCAATAAATAAACAAACAAATGTTTTTCTACCTACTTAATGCATAGGTGAACCTCATAAATCTTGAAAAATAAAACGTGTTTCTGGATGCTGAACTAACCTATGGATTCTTAAAAAGCTGCTCCACGTAACAAGTTGTTTTATGAGGAGAAAAAAAAATCGCACTTGCAGTTGAAGTCTTTAGTTCTTTATACAAACACCATTTGGAAGTTCTGACACTGTAGTTTTTATAGCAGCAAACAGAAATTTTCATAATAAACACAATATTGGTCACATTTTAAAGGTTCTCTCTTGCCAAAATGGCTGTGAAAAATTCTGAAATGTTGGAAGAATATTAGTCTGCAATTTTAGACGACCCAATGCTCCCTAATGATAATAATAAGAATTTTATCAATTTCAGCACTTAGTTGAAAAATTTGTGCAATTCTTTTTAGCATACACACCTTTCTTGTAATATACTAAAGTATGAATATCTCAAAATATATCAAGTCTTCATCTGGAAACATGCAGAGAAAATAAAAAGCCTAAACTTTACATCAGCAAGAAGACAGTCTAAGTAAAATCTGCTTAGTTTCAAGGAATAGAAGAGACTCTTCCAGTTGGACCTACAGTCATTGTCAGTGACTTGCCTGCCCACTCAGGGCTGCCCACTGTTAAGGGCACTGTCCAGAAGCTGTTGAGCACTGACAGACTGGGGGGTCCACCACTTCTCTAGGAAGCTGCTCCAGTGCTTGACCACCCTCTCTTTATAGAATTGCCTCCTAATGGGCAGGAAAGCTCTCCTGGTGCAGCTGTGAGCTGCTCCCTCATGTCCTGTCCCTGGATTACAGGGAGGAGAGCTCAGTACTTCCCCGTGCCCTTTCCTTCTTCAGGAAGCTGCAGAGAGCAGTGGGGTCACCCTTCAGCCTCCCTTTCCCCGAAGTGGACAAGCCCAAATTCCTCAGCTGCTCCTCACAGGGAGTTCCTTCCAGCCCTCCCACCAGCTTTGTTTTCCTCCTCAGAGCGCCTTCAAGGACCTTTCCATCCCTCTCCAGCGGCAGGGCCCAGGCGGCCCCAGGTGAGGCGGCCCCGAGGCTGAGCCCAGCGGGACCATCCCCTCCCTGGGCCGGCTGTGCCGGGCTCGGGGCTCTGGGCTGGGCTTTGTGTCGGGGCTGCCCGGCCGCTGCTGACCCACCCTGAGCCGGCACCAGCCAGCCCCACCTCCCTCCGCAGCTGTCCAGCCACTCCTCTCCCGCTTCATCCCTGTGCTTGGCATTACCCCATCCCAGGTGCAGAATCCAGCATTTGAACTTGGTACATTTCACTCCATTAATGACTGCCCAATGCTCCAATCTGTCTAGATCCCTCACCAAGGCCTCTTGTCCCTAAAGAGGATCCACAGTACCTCCCAGTTTGAATCATTTGCCAAGTTGCTAATGGTGCACCCAAATGTTGGTTGCCAGATGAAGCCCAATTCAATACAGCCCTTTGAGTGCTGCCATCCAGCTGGAGCACTGTGAACCTGCTCATGCCACAGCTGGGCAACTTGCTGGAAAAGGATGCTATGAGGGACAGTGTTAGCAGCTTTAGTCAAACTCGAGCTGCATCCACTGCCTTCCCTTCATCCAGGCAGGTAACCTTAAGATAGAAGGATAGGTTGGTTAAACAGAACTTTGCTTTATGAAACTGTGTTGACTGTGGGAGATGATTGCATTGTTTCTTAACAATTCTTTCACCTTCCAGTAGCACTTAGTATCTCCATAGCTTTTCCAGGAGCTGAGGTTACACTAATAAATCTCCAGTTCCATTTATTGCCTCGCGCCTTTGTAAATGGGAATTACACTGGCAAGCTTCCAGTGAGCAGTGACCTGCCCAGACTTCTAAGGCCTTCAGTAGATGATTGAGAGGTCTTGCTGTAACAGCTGCAGGCCCATTCAGTACTCCAGGGTGAATCCCATCAGGGCCCACGAAGATGTGGGAACAATCAGTGTATAAGCTGATCCCTTAGAATTTGAGTATTCACAGTTGTGGATCTCCCACTCAGAAGACTCAAAGGAAAAAATATGCTCTATGAAGTGATTGCTGAAAGGTGCTTTTAAGGAAAGTTTCTGTATTTAATTCTAGACTTAATTGCAGACTGGTGTAAACTCTTTCTGAATTGCAGTTCCTCAAAATGACAGTATTCTAATTTGTGTTATTAGTAGTGAATCATAGAAGAATTAGAAAGGACCCACAGGGAACATCATCCTGGCCCTACACAGGACATCCCCAAGAATCACACCACGTGCCTGAGAATATTGTCCACACATTTCTGTAACTCTGTCAGGTTTGCTGCTGTGACCACTTCCCTGAGGAGGCTGTGCCCAGCCACCCCCTGGGTGGAAAAACCTTTTGCTGATACCCAGCCTAAACGTCCCCTGACACAACTTGAGGCCATTCCCCCTGTCACTGGTCACCATAGAGCAGAGATCAGTGTCTGCCCCTTTGCTTCCACTTGTGAAGGCCACAGCGACATCTCCTTCAGTCTCCTGGCTGAACACACCAAATGACCTCAGCCACTCCTCACATGGCTTCCCCTCCAGGCTCATCACCATCCTCGTTGCCCTCCTTTGGACATGGTCTTACAGGTTAATGCCTTTTTATATTGTGGCACCCAAAACTGCCCCCAGCACTCGAGGTGAGGCCACCCCAGTGCAGAGCAGAGCGGGACAATCCCCTCCCTTGCCCGGCTGTTGAAGCTGTGCCTGATGCCCCCAGGACAGGGTTGGCCCTCGTGGCTGCCAGGGCCCTGCTGGCTCATGTTCAACTTGCCATCAGCCAGGAGCCCTAGGTCCCTTTCTGTGACATAGCTTTCCAGCATCTCCTTTCCCAGTCTATCCACACTTCCAGGGGTGCCCTCTCCCAGGTGAAGAATTTAAACTAAGACAGTGGAGCATAGAAGTCACTGTGTCTTCCTGGAATTCCAGCTTATCCGTCGCCATGGTGGATCATTTAAGTACTTTGTCATCCTTCACATGAAGAAGAAATTAAAATTTGTCCAAGTTTTAACCTTAAATACTGATATTTCAAGTGATTATAAAGGTCAGGTTGATAGATGCTTAGGTGGTAGACCTTGGATTTGGAAAATTCAGGAGAGCTGGGT